CAAATTGACTCCTAAAAGTCAACACTTGTTCTTGAGCTAACATCACAATTTCAAGAAATCTTACAATCCATCCTTGGATTTCATATACTAACTAATAATAACACTTAGTCCTAACATAATTTCATGATTTCATCTATAAATCATCACATGTAAGGACTTAAACTCTATGCATGTCATCAAATAAGGATAAATACGAGTTTTACCTTTGATTTCTCTATAAATCCTTCAATAATCTTGATAAAACACTTGATTTAGGGATAGATTAACTCCCAAGTGTGTAATCGCACCTTAGAACACCAAGACTGATTTTGAGAGAAAACGGAGTTGAAAATGGGCTGATTTGATGATTTGCGACTTAAATCCCAAGTTGGGTCGGGTTGACTCGGCTGGGTACCCTTTTTGACCCCTAAACACTAAAAACAATTTGCATAACTTTTTGCTCGGGACTCCGTTTTAGAGGGGGGTTTTCGCCTACGCTTCCGAAACGAGATAACCTACAAGCTCCAATAAAAAGATTCCATTGTTTGAACCCAATGCTCAAAACCATACCCGAAAAGTCGATATTTTCAACACATAATTAAGCGTATTAGGAAGATGGATGTTACAATAGCAGATGTGGGTGCCCGACTATATGTATCCGCTGGGATAGGAGCTTGATCTTGATTTTGTGCTCCACTCACACACTCTCCATCTTTTTATGCTTCCCTCTCACTCAACCTCTCAGTATTTTCAACTTCAGCTCCCTCATCACCTCCTTATACTGGAATATTTGACATATCTTCCAGCATGCGATCATAATCATCAAGTTTGCCTCCAAAATCATCAACATCAAACGACAGAGAATCCAGACTTGGACAAATGTGTGGAGGTTCAAACTTTGGAAAAATCTCATCAATATTATCAACCACTGCTCCTATTTGAATATTCTGTGAAAGAATTGGTTGAGCAGGGTTGTCAGCATCATCATCATCATTGTCATTGTCATCACCCTGAGCTGCCTGGTTGTCGGATATTGTATCTTTCGAACTTGAAGAAGTCAAGGAAGTACTATCTAATGAAGTATTGTGCTGATCAAAGGCTCCCCGCTCCTCAACACTCCTCTCAATTACATTTTCCCTCAACGCACAGCCCTGTTCAGGTAACCCATGTTCCTGAACACTCTCACCTACAACTATAGCCTCTCTCTCAGCTGAGGCATGGGGTGATCCCGGGGTAAGTTCAACCGTTTCTTTCTGAACTATAGGATCAATCACTCATCTATAGTCTATAACACACTGAGCCCTCTGATCAGCGAAGGCAAATAGCTCGAGTGGAATTTCCATGATAGAGTCTAGATCTTCAACTTCGGTATGTTGTCGAATTCTAGACATGACAAACAATGGCCCCATTTCACTGTTAGCTCTGGCCGGGATGTCTTCGTTAGAGTTCATCATTGCTTTTATGAAAAGTTGCAGAAACCATTGAAAATGCACAAACTTTCTGGCTTTAGATGGAAATCTTTTACCATTGACGAGCTCCACCAGTTCATTCCATATTATGAGCGCATAATCGTACTTGCGCGTGAATACGATCCCATGAAAGAACTTCATAAATGAACTACTGCACGTGTCGATTCCCCCAGTTTTTGACGTTAAGCATCTATTGAGGATTGAGAATAAAAGATGCCAGATAGAAGGTAGGAATCTCCGTTTGAATTGTGATGGATTAGGCAACTCTTGCGAGTATCCTAACCGTTTGATGTCACGACAAAGTTCGTCGTCAGTCACAAGAGTTTCAAACCCTGTGGAGCCCGGGCCAGGAAGGCGTAGTATTCTTCGTAGTTTTTTTTAATGTCAACCGACTGACATACTCGTCTACGCTTCCTTCAAAGTAGAAAGTTTCTCTGTCTTTGGCCAATGTAAGAGTATTCCAGAACTGCTGTAGATATATCATGGGAACTGGTGTATGGGTAGAAAGGGAATACGAAATTGGGTGTCCGCACAAGATTTCTAGGATTATTTGATATTCGGCAGGCATATCAAAGCTAAAGGAATAGTTGTTCGGTTTAATTTCGAGATATTGGCTTTGTGGAAGTAAATTTTCTTCGGGTATAGGTTGGTTTAATGGCTGGGGAGGATTATTTATATTATCAGGCCTGACAGAAGGAATGTGGGATTCCTCGTCAGACTGATGTTGAAAATCCGTCATTTACCTGTAAAATGTCTAAAATATTATATTCTGAATTCATGAAACAAAGCGAATTTCTCAAAATAAAAGTAAAAAAAAATTAAAGAAAAATGAAAAACTTAAAAAAATCAAGACTTTAGAAAAATACTAAAAAAAATCACTAAAAACAAATTTACTACAAAAAAAATGAAACTTATTACTAAAAAAATATCTAACATTAAAAAAAAATACTTAAAAAAATTTATCTAAAAAAATTAAAAGGAATTGTGTGTCCCTTATATGATCAATCTTAAAAAAAACCTTCAAATAATCGATGGAAGATAAGATTTTCTATTAAGAACATGTAGGAGAAATAGAGAGAAAAAGTCAATCTTCAAAGTGTGGTGAAACTCTCTATTACGTATTATGATTTACAATAAGCATCCTGCTACAATTACAAGATAAACACCCTATTTATAGGGTCAAACAATAAAAGCCTAGTCAAAATCAAACCTTACATACA